AATAAAAGGCGCCGTTGCGCCGCCGCCGGCCAGTTTTTCTTCCCTCCTCTCGAAACCCCACCTCTCTGCTCTTTCTCTTTCTCCTTCATCCCTCTGTATATACTCCTTCGCGCTCACCAACCTCCCTTTCGTCCTCTCTTTTCCTTTTTTTCGCAGCGCGGCCGCGACCGCGAACGGTACCGCGCCGGCCAGCCGGCATAAAAGAATAATTAAAATAAAGTAGGCTCCGTGTAATTCTGCCGAAATTGTGGCGCGGCTACAATAACGATAACAACGAAAATGGTTAATAAAGGAGCGTGGCCTGGACGCGATTCTGGTTAATTGCGTGGCTGCGAGAAAATATTACTCCTCCGAAGGGAACGAGCGCTGTCACGCTGCGGATGATTTTAGGATTTTGTCGTTTAATTCGTGTGGGTTCCTTTTTTTTTTTTAATTTTCGGTGGTATATTTTTAGTTTTCTCGAATTCTTTTTTTTTTGCGGTTTGCTTGATGAAACGAGACGATGATTCTTCTTTCGACCAGTTTCGTTAACACGGAACTCGTCTCACGTCCTGGCAGACGATCTGCTGGAATTTTTGGGGTTTAGACGGTGCGGTGGCCCGATTTCAAGGCTCATGAATTATGCAGCCGCGAAAACGGGTTCCCGAACGCGGTAATTGGAGGCAAACGAGTTTCTTCTTTGGAAACACTGGTCACTGAACCGACGTGCCTCTTTCGATCGATGCGCTTTTTCGAAATCTTCGTTGCACAACTTTGCTTTCTTACTGCGAGTTGTTGTTTAACCAAAATATTGAATAAATAAGAACGTTTAACAATATTAACAACTTCGTTGTATTCGTACATAAGACACAGCGAATTTAATCAACAGAGTAATATAGTATACTCAATAGTTTCTGTTGAAATTTCATTAAAAGAATTCACACAAAATGCAATTCAGGTGAAAATGAAAATCCTTAGCGAATCAGTAGAGGAAACCGTCTATTTTCAGCGATTAACATGTAAAAAGCGCTTCTTTTTCTCACGTCGAGCCGCTCTTTCATCCTGTGTCCACGTATATACCGGTTGGCGATGTTCCAAACGTTTGAATCGTAGCTCGACTCGATATCATATCGCCTCCGCGGCCTCTTCTTTCCGCGTTTTCCACACTCGAAACTTTTCTCTCCGTTTTATCGCGTGTCGAGCACCGCCGTTTGGCGCAGGTGTATCGATCATGTTGCACGACTTCACGCCGTTCCGCCAAATGTTCCGAATTATCGGAACGTTTACGAGCTGTATTTAGCCCGGTTTGAATTTCTTCGACATTACCGTCCGATCCGCTTCCGGATCGTTCAGTCTCCAGCAACGCCGAGTGCCTTGAGCGCGCGCTCTTTTTCAGAGCACGAGATAGATAGAAATAGAAACACGCCGCTGGGATTTCTTTCCAAGCTGAATTTCGAATTAATTCCTTTCCTCGAAGCGCGGATCTTTGGAAATTTTGAAAGAGAAGCTTTTGTCACATCCTGCGCTGGAAAATTGAAAATTCCTAATTATAGGAATTTTTCTGAATTCCTGCAATTTTCTTAGAAAACTGAAATAATTTTTGTCGACGAAATAAAAGTTCAAAATTTTTGTAACATAACATTGCGATAAAAATTTGGGAGATCTAGAAGGTATCGAGAGTATAAAAAAGTATATATGTAATATGAATACTCTGTTTTAATTTTTGTCAACCAAATAAAAATTCTCAATTGTAGGAAATTATAGAAATTTTTCTGAATTCTTGCAATTTTTCTATAAAGCTAAAATAATTTTTGTCGACGAAATAAAAGTTCAAAATTTTTGTAACATAACATTGCGATAAAAATTTGGGAGATCCACGAAGTACCGAGAGTGTAAAAAAGCATGAGATGAATATTCTATGTTTTAATTTTCGTATCATGATATTGCGATAAAATTTCAGAGATCCACGAAGCATCAAAAATATAAAAAAGTATAAGATGAATATTCTACGTTTTTCCGTAGTACCGTTAAATATTAACAAACAAGGACGATTACTCCAGCAAGCATAATAGAGGAGTGCCTGTTTCCCGAGCCGAGAAAATACACGTTCCTTAGTTGCGTTAAGTATGCAGCGTGGCCTCGCGGTAAAGTAGGCGGCAGATGGCCACAGTATTATCGACTCCACGTATTGGTTCGAACAAGTTAACGTCTAT